GGCCAGGAGGCGGGGCCAGGTCGAGGCAATGTCAATAAGTTTGTGTTTTTAAAGCAGTCTATTTGTTTTCCAGTGGTTCCAGAGGAGCAGCCCGTCCTGTGGAAACGGGGACCGACGGAGGTATGTCATATTTATTTCTTTAATTGTTTCTCAACATGTACCCAATGGGACCCAAACCCTGGAAGTCAAAATGGCTCTTTTGGGTGAGGGGGCCTGGATTAACCGGGCTTGAGGGTTTTCCCTGGGCTCAGGCCCAACGTCCTCATGGCCTCCATTGCTTTTCAGCAGACAAATTCACGGGCCGGCAACCTGCCCCCTATCAAGGAAGGTCCTCCCGCTCAGCGGTCCTTTACCACCCGCCCCCCCCAAGGTAAGCAGTCTAAATCTTCTGGGACAGGGGTGGGTTCTAATTTTTTTTACTCCCGGTTCTGTGGGTGTGGCTTATTTTGTGGGCGTGGCTTGGTGGGGGGTTAATGTGACTGGGTGGGCGTGGCCATCTTTTTTTATTAAACTTTTAAAAGCACTTTTTTTACAACCTTAAGAGGTTGCAGAAAAAAAATGCTTTGAAAAGCCTCTGACGATCAGGCAACTCAGCTGGGATCGCCAGAGGCTTTTAAAGGCATTTTTTCCCCTACAACCTCTTCGGCCGAAGAGCTTGTAGGAAAAATGCTTTTCAAAGCCTCTGATGATATGTATATTTCACGGCTGTTATTTTAACATTTCCAGACTCCTGCAACATCTGGGGGGCGACCGCTGAGGAATCCGAGGGAGAAGAGTGGCACGTAAGTCTACATTTTACCTAAAGAATATAAAATATAACATTTATTTTTTAAAGGAATCCTTTGTTGAAACACCTTTGGATTTTAAGAGTGCATCTAGTCTTTTGGCCTTAGAGCCGATCTTGCCATGGAAATCTTTGCCCACTCTTCCTTCAAAAGGGCTCCAAAATTGGAACATTGGGCGCTATCTAACAAAATGAAATTCAAGGGTGAAAAAAGTGAGGTTCTACATTTAGCCAAGAAAAACAAAATGCACAGGGACAGTATATGGGGCACCTCGCTCAACAGGAGTAACTCTCAGAGGGATCTTGGAGTCCTAGTGGACAACCGTTTAAACAGGAGCCAGGCGTGTGCAGCAGCTGCCAAAAAAGCCAACCCAGTTCCAGGCTGCATCAATCAAGACCACGTGAAGTGTTGATGCCACTTTTTAAGGCCTTGGTAAGGCCACACTTGGAATATTGCATCCAGTTTTGGTCGCCACGATGTAAAAAGGATGTGGAGACTCTAGAAAGAGTGCAGAGAAGAGCAACGAAGACGATGAGGGGACTGGAGGCTAAAACATAATGGATTTTTCACATATTTAATGACTACTATTTAACATCAGTTTTTTCCCTTCAAAGATTTCAGTTTGTTTTTTGACTTGAATTGTACATCTTATATGTTATGTTAAAGGAGGAAGTACTCTGAAGGGATTTATCTTGGTCTGATTTTTTATTTTACATTTCCAAAACCTGGCCTTTTAATAGGGGTGTGTAGACTTTCTTTGCTAAATACTGAAGTAAAAACTTAAGTAATCCAACTCTTATAAACAACTCTTATCAACACATTAAACCTTAATATTTAAGTCACTAACCAAATCCCTTAAGACTACCCTGGAGGTGCATCTAAAGTCCCTCAAACTGTACCCATTGGCCATTTTTACGGAGCCTTTCTAAAAGACCCAATAAATGGTGAAAGGATTGTTAGTAGAAATACAAGACTGAATTTATACACTGACACAAACATAAAGGTATTTTTAATATTTTTCAATGGAAGAAAATGTTTGATGAGTCAAGTAAAAAACTGAAGGGTCTAATTTCTCTCTGGTTTTCCTATTTACAGCAACCGAAAGCAGAAGTCGTTCTCCCTGACTGAGGAGCTCCTGAGTAAAAACGCCCAGCTTTCGGAGAAGAACGCAGAACTCTGCAGGGAGGTGGAGGAGAAACTGAGGAGGTGAGAAACCCTGACTTTCTCTTCCAGGATTTCCTCTTCAATTCTCCTTAGCTCCCTACCCCGGACACACATTACACAACGTTCTGCGTTGAATTACGTTGCCTGGATGGGTGGGAGACATCATGAATCTCTTGACAGGGACTTTTCCTGGCCAAATCCTCTGAATTTAGGAGGTCCCTGCTTTGATCTCCTCCTCTGCTGCTCACTGACCTCAGTTCTCGGCTCCCCCTCGGCTCTCACCAGTTCAGTCTTCTCCCCCTTCTGTCCCCATTAGAAAGTTTGGAAATTGTTTTGAATTTTCTGGTATGAAAGCCAAAAAATAAAAAAAAAGGTTTTAAGATCTGAAGATTCCTTTATGGCAAAACTCAAGTAATTAAAAGGTAAGGCTGGGTAAAACAAAGGAAGTGCCAGGCGTTTTAGTTAGTTTTAATTTTAAAAGGGTTTGATGATTCAAGGGAAGACCTGAGGGGGCTCATTTCCCTCTTGTCTTCCTATTTTACAGAATCCAGATGTTGGAACTCCGAAACCTCCATCTCCACTGCAGGGTTCTGACGGAAGCTGGAGTGAAGCAGGAGCTCCTCAGGGAGAACGAAGAGCTGCGGGAACAACTGGAGAGGTAAGAAATACCGTGTTTCCCCGAAAATACGACCTTCCCCGCAAACAGTTGTTGTTGTGGCTAAGCTAGTAAGTAAGAACCTTTGGCTGCTTCTCCGCATTGACCTCTCCACGTCTCCTTCTTCCAGAGAGAAACAATGGAGGGAGCGTTTCCTGGGAGAGAGAGAACGGCGGGAATCCCAGTAAGATCCGGGAGGAGATCTCGCAGGATCAAAAGAGATCTGAGGCAGCCTCCAAGGACCTCTAAGACCTTCAAGTAGCTCCTCCTCCTATTCCTCCTCCTCCCCTCCCCCTCCGGGACACATTCTCTGTCTCCACCACATCCTGGCAACACCAAAAAGCCTCTGAGAACCAGGCAAAAAGTGCACCCTATTTTTTCCATGACTTTTGGAGGTTCTGTACAGGATCATGGACCCCACTTCCAGAGGGTTTGTAGGCCCTAGGAGACCCTCCCTCATTTTTCTGCTGCTGGATAACTTGTAAGAAGGTGCAAAGAAGAAAGAACTGAAGGACTGAAGAGGAAATGCTTTTGTAAAGTCGATTTGATCCTTTGAAATTTATTTTGTAATGTAAATAGAGATCTGGATTTGGAATACCCCTCAAGATCTTTTTTTAATTCCTTCAATTCTGCTATTGGTTCCTGCTTTTTAATGTGCCTCGGTGTTGATTTTAATTCTAAGAGATTTGAGGGTTTTTTAGTTGTTAATTCTTGGGGGCATAAACTGTCAGTATTTTAATTTTTCTTGTTCTCTTTAATGCTTTTGGCATGTGACCGTAATAAATGTTGAGTTTAATTGAATTGAATTGAATTGAATTGAATTGAATTGAATTGAATTGAATTGAATTGAATGGTTCTTTGGACCTGATTCCCTCAGGATCCTTCATTAGTCCTGGAAAGTCTTGAATGACCAGACTGTCCAACAGTGGTTCCTGTCTGCACTCTCGTCTGACCACTTGACAAGTCTGCAGCAGAAGAAAGACCCCAAAGCAATGGGATTGTTGTCATGGAAGGACAGGCCTGTTTTGACCCTTCCCCCTCCCCACTCTGGATCCCCCTCCCCAGCCAGGACATCTACACCAGTGAAAAGCAGCTCTTGGATTCCATGGAGAAGATACGGTTGGATCTATCACTCCCCACTCCGTCTGCCAAAGAAAGAAACACACACAGGGACCTGTGGGGCTTTGTAGGGTCCCACTAATGTGGACGTCTGGATGGAGATGTCCATCCCATCAGCTGCATCCAGAGGAGCCAAAGGAAGTGGTCCTTCCTCCCACAACCGTCCCTGGGAACAGGGGCTCCTCCAGTAGAGAGCAGGTCCAGCAAGGCCTCTGAAGGGCCAAGTGGATTCTCTTAGTTGTCAGGGAGGTTGTGGCCAAGTGTGAGATTGTGCAGGAGCTGGGGATCCTTACCCACCAATTGAATGGCAAAAATACACCATAGTATATTAAAGTCACTGATAGAGAAACTCTTTTACAATAAATGCTCATGTTATTCTTATATCATCATGAATAGAAGCAAGAAAATCCTTTTTCTTCAATTTAATCCTCTTTGTCTCCACCAGCTGACTGAGTCTCAAGCCAACCCTGATCCAAAACCAGAGGCAAATGGTAGTTACTCATCACCTTGACATTGAATGAGTGTTGAGAAGGTGGGATGGAGATAGTTCTCCACCAGAGTTCAGAGTCACAAACAAACCATTATTTGTAGAAGGAGTAATTTCTATCTGGCCATTAAAGGGAATTCAAAATAATTCAATCCTTAAAATAGATCTATCATAAAAGGAAGAAGATTTTTTTAATGTGAGAAACATTTACCAATTCTAAAAAAAACCTCATTTGTTTCTATAAGGGTCAGGAATTGTGTATCAATCAGCAGTTATAAAAATATGGGACTGGGCTGGGGAGGGGCCATTACAACCGTTTTAATCACTACTTTAAGCAAAAGTTAGCATTCAAGTGATGAGCTCAAGTTTGGATGGAGAGAGGAAAAAAAATCTGGAGTTGTTAATGGTTTTTATTCTGTCCCATCTTTGGATTCCAGCAACTTCCACAAAATAAGTGCTGACTTCAGACTCTCTCTGTCGCAGTAAAATAAAGCCTTAAAATCAAATCTCAACTTTTTATTTTTCCATAACTGGTTTTGTAAAAGAAAGCAGATTTCGCATCCAAATCCTCCAGTTCTCAGGGAAGACAAAAGTCCCACCTCTCTTTCTCTCTAGTGGCTGCTTCTATTCCTGCCCCCTTCGTCATGACAACCCTGTAGCCAATCAAAGAGGGGGAAGAGACGGTTGCCTGGGAGCTTCCCTGCCCTCAGCCAGATAGAGAAGAGGCTGAAGAAGCCAAGCCAAAGGGGCGGGGGGGTCAAATAAAGAGCCAAATTCAGAGCTTTGGGGGGGATGAGAAAGAGGCAAAAGTTTCCAGAATTGCAGAGGGAGGGGAGCTTAAGCCCCTTCCCCAGAAAAGGCTGCAATGAAGAGGGTCTCCTCAGCTGGGGGCTCTGGAGGGGCCACAGGGGACCCCCACCTTCCTCAGAGTCACGGAGGGTCCCATCCAGGGTCAGGCCAGCTGCCTTTTCCTCCCGGGCAAGCCCGGATCCCCCTTGGGAGACCCAGCCCTGCATGGTTTCTCCCCCACAGGAGCCTCTCCTGGAAAGACACGGAGCCCAAGCAAAGCTGGAGAAACCCCGGAGGCTGCGTCCCCCCAACATAAACCTGGGGGACCCATAAACCAGGTTAATCTCTTCCCAGGAATGCCCCAGATCCCCTCCTCCTCCCTGGCCATCCTGGGCTTTCTCTATGGGTCTGGGCTTTGCTTTCCCCCCTGAGTGCCCCATGCGTGGAAAGAGGTGGCTGAGCAATATGGGATATGGTTTCCCCCCTTCCCAGGACTCAGAAGATGGAAGTTGGATTTTGCAGATCAGCTTTCCATCTGCAACACGAGGGTCCTGAGCTCCCCTTCCCTCCTTTCTTCCCTCCCTCCCCTCCCCACATGGGGAGAGAGGCAGCCTTGATTTCTCCATCTCTTTTCACTTGTTTTTTTCCTAACCTCTCTGTGTTCCTGTCTCTCTGTGTGTTTTTTCAACTATGCAATGTTCTGATAACTACTTTTTCATTAATGTTTAATCTATTCGTTCTTTTCATTTATTTATTTTTTCTAGTTAGGTTCCCCCCCACCCTAAAGTTGATTTTGTTCTAGGAGTCTGGTCACACTATTGCATCAGCCCTTTTGTGCGATGCCCTTGAGCATTAGCTTTCAAAATAAAGTAAATTTTGGTTTCAACTCAGCTGGCAGCTATTTCACATCTGTGACATGCTCCAGCATTAACTGGCCCCCGGAGTTTTCTCTTTCATCACTATGCAAACAAATATCAGATTTATTTATTTCTTCAGCCACAGGTGCCGTGTATTCCCTCCGGGGCCACTTTCAAGCATGGAGCTCCCAAACTTCTTAATTCTACATGACTGATTTAATTTCATCTCTGCCCCTGTTATTATGAATGACATGGGGATTATTTCCCTTTCATTTCCCTCCAGAGAATTTCCCAACAATCTCCAAGTCCAAGAACTACTTGAATTATCCAGGGATCCCTCCTGAGAGGGAGAATTATGATAAAAGTTTCAGCTCTGCTCTTTGGCCGAATCCTCCAGGGGTGACTTTGGGCAGAGAAATATGGAGTTTTGGGACAGGCAGAGTCTGTGCTCTTGAATCTATGTCTCCCTCCTTTCCAGGTGAAGCTGAGTGTTTCTCTGTGTTTGAATCAGGAAAGCAACTGGATCATATTCCACCTTGTGAGAGTCCTTTGATTCTTCTAATTCTTCTTTAGAAACAGGAAAGGGATTCATTGATTCACCCCATGAATTATGAACCTCCGGCTTCTGCCTCTGATGCTGCTTTTGTCCCATCCAGTCTCTGGGAAGCTGAGAATGAAATGCCCGCTGAGTTTCAAACAGGAGGATGGAAAACAACCACAGAGCTTTTACAGCCCAGGAGACCATCTCATTGGTTTAGTCATCACTGGAAATGAAATCTTGCATACAAAGTTGCTTTTCAACGTGGCTCCTTCTCTTCAGTTTGTTTTCCAGGATCTGTAAGTCATTCAGGGTGATGGAGTTGCACTCCCTCCATTTTAACCCTCTCCTTCTTTTCTGTTTTATATTTTTCATTTATTCCTATATTGGGGAATATGTCTAATTTCCTGAATGATTTTGATTTCCATGGCTTCTCTCTTTGGTCTGATTTTGTGAAAGAGACTCAAATCCAAAAAAAGGGTCTGAAAAAAAGCTGAAAGGGCTGCAGATTATTTTCCTCTCTCAGTTCAGTCCTTAATTTATCGCTTGAATAATGAATTTAAAGTAGTGGTGGAATCAGTTGTAGTTGCTGTACCTCAGCCCATTTCCATATTTGTGTAACTGATCATTGCTTTTGGATCAATGTTGGCTTAAGGCTCAGGAGGCTTCTACAGGATTATATATTAAAAACAGTATTTATTGTTGCTTTTGATTATAATAACATGTTTTAACAATAGGAATGCTCGTGGTTTTTCATATGGCTTACGATTCATTTTCAACATTCAAACGTTCAACAAGAATTCCCATCTCTTGCACAATCTCACACTGGGCTACAACATCCGTAACAACTATATGAGCACTTTCCTCACTTCAGATGCCTTGCTGGACATTCTCTCCACTGGAGAAGCCAATGTCCCCAACTACAGCTGTGGAAGGAAGGAGAACCTTCTGGCTCTTCTTGATGCAGCTGACAGGCCCATCTCCATCCAGATGTCAACATTAGGAGGCACCTACAAAGTCCCACAGGTTTGTGTGTTTTTCTCTCTCTGGTAAAGTGAGAGGTGAGTGGTGGTGGGTGAGCAATAGATGCAATCATGTCTTCTCCATGGAATTCAAGAGCTGCTTTTCTCCATATTCTCAATATTTTACCCCATTATGTTCATGTTGAGATTAATCATAAAAGGCCTGAAATGCAAGCAATACATTCCCTGGAGAAGATATTCTACCAACTATTTAACTGATCAAAAAATATCCCTGGTTGTTGGAGCCTCTATTGGCATCTTCATTTTCACAGATAAATAATGCCTGCCCTATCCACTCAGATTTCCACTAGCAATTATAGACCAAATAGACTAGCAGATATTGTGGCTAAAATTTATGCCATGATCTTCTTAGTTAAACTTGAGAAAAATGCATTCTTTGCAGAAGAACCAGAAGGTTTTAGGTAGAGTTAAAAGCTATATAGATTTTATAAGAAATAATGGATAAGTTAATAATCTAATATTGGCAACAAATTTGTCTTGAAATATCTCATCTATATCAGTGAGGTAAAACAAGGTTTTCAGGCTCTCTAGATGTTAGTGCAGCATTTAACTCAATAAACAGAGAAATATGATGGAGAAAATGTTTTGCCCTCAAAATGGAGCTCAGCCTGTTGGCCCTGATCCAAGCCCTTGTTTGAGAGGGAGGTTTGGGCTCAATGGAGCCATGAGAAGAAGGATCTATGCTTACCAAGGGGGAAGGAAAAGATGCATATTTGAACCCTTGTCTAAATATTTCTTCTTATTCAGTGTAAATATGAATGACTTAATAGCAGTAATGAAGGATAAAAAAAAAAAAACCCAGATCATTAATAAATGTTATTTCATTTTTTGAAAAAAATGACTAAATTAGTGGATTAATGAAATGCAGTGCATGTAGTATACGGTACTTGGATTTCAGAAAGGCTTTTACAAAGTAAACCACAACCTATTTCTCAGGAAGCTGAACATATATGGGATGGACAGCATCACCCCCAGATGGGCTCAGCCTGTGGTCCTCAATGGAACTACGTCTGCATGGAGGGAAACAAGCAGTGGGGGACCCCAAGGTTCCATTTTAGGCCCAGTTCTCTTCAACATCTTCATGAATGATTTGGATGAGGGAAGAAATGGGGAAATCATCAAATTTGAAGACAGCACTAAAGTGGCAGGAATAGCCAACACCTCAGAAGATAGGCTGAAGATCCAGATGGATCAAGATAAACTTGAACCCTGGGCCTATCTAAGAAACCATAATGCATTGTAGAGAAAAGTAAGATTTTATACTTAGGCTAGAAAAAACAAATGTCCATTTACGGATGTGGTGAAACCTGGCTCAATAGCAATAACTATGAAAGGGATCTTGGAGTCCTAGTGGACAATCACTTAAATATGAGCCAGCAATCTGTGGCAGCAGCCAAAAAAGCTAATTCAGTCCTAGGCTGCATTAACAGAGGGATAAAATCAAGATCATATGAAGTATTAGTACCGCTTTATGATGCCTTGTCAAGACAACACTTGGAATAGTGCATCCAGTTTTAGTCTCCATATTATAAAAAAGATGTAGAGACTCTGGAAAGAGTGCAGAAAAGATGATTAAGGGCCTGGAGACTAAAACTTATGAGGAACAGTTGCAGGAATTCAGTATGTCTAGTCTAGTGAAAAGGACTAAGGGTGACATCATAGCAATGTACCAATATTTGGGGGGCTGCCACAGAGAAGAGGAGGTCCACCTATTTTCCAAAGTACTAGAAGGCAAGACAAGAAACAATGGATGGAAACTAATCAAGGAGAGAAACAACCTAGAACTAAGGAGAAATTTCCTAACGGTGAGGAATGGAACGTCTCCCCTTCAGAAATTGTGGGTGGTCCATCACTGGAGGCTTTTAAGAAGAGACTGGACAGCCACTTGTCTGGAATAGTATAGATAGATACAGATTAACAGAGTTGGAAGGGACCTTGTAGGTCATCTAGTCCAAGCAGACCCTACACCATTTCTGGCAGGTGACGGTCCAGTCTCTTCTTGAAAGCTTCCAGTGATGAAGCTCCCACAACTTCTGAAGGCAACTTTATCTCTTTATTTCCAGGTTGAACATCTCCTTGTTCAGTTTCCATCCATTATTCCTTGTCCAGCCTTTGGGTGCTTTGGAAAACAGCTTGACCCCCTCCTCTCTGTGGCAGCCCCTCAAATACTGGAAGACTGCTATCATGTCTCCCCTGGTCCTTCTCTTCACTAGACCAGCCATGCCCAGTTCCTGCAACCGTTCATTCTACGTTTTAGCCTCCAGTCCCCTAATCCTCTTGGTTGCTCTTCTCTGCACTTTTTCTAGAATCTCAACATCTTTTTTATAGTGTGGGGACCAAAACTGGATGCAGGATTCTAGGTGTGGTCTTACTAAGGCTTTATAGGGGTGGTATTAGTACCTCTCTTGATCTTGATTGTATCCCTCTGTTAATGCAATTTAGGATTGCATTGGCTTTTTTGGTTGCCGCTGCACACTCTTGACTCATATTTAATTGGTTGTCCACTAAGACTCCAGGATCCCTCTCACAGTTACTGCTATTATGCCCGGTTTCCTGCTTGAACAGGGGGTTGGACTAGAAGACCTCCAAGGTCCCTTCCAACCCTTTTATTTTGTTATAAGTTCCGTTATAGGTGCACATGTTTAGCCTGCTAAATTCCTATTGGAATACACTGATTTACACAGATAATGTGATATTATCATACTTACACATTGGATTGTATAGACTTGGATTGTTTTGTCATAATAATTATATGATAATTTATAAAGCAAGTTCAAAAGTTATGGTCTTTGTGAAATGACATCATAGCCATAGATGGTCAGCCATTAGAGCAAGTAACACCTTTCCTTACCTGGGGTTGTTTTCTCTGAGCCTGAATCTTGGCTCCCTCATCATCCAAGGAGCTCAGTTAGAGAAAGGGCAGGAGTGAAAGTGGTGCTTAAATGAAAACCTCTCAGCTCTCCAGCTTCCTCAGCCCCAATGATTAAAGTATCTGAGGCCCAGTTTTCCCCCATGTTCTTCCATCAATCTGATGTTTGGGGCTTCAGAGAGAAACCACCAGCAGAACCAACCCAATCTCAGCCTCTGAGGAGGATCTTGGGGTGGGTAAAAGGACTCCAGCTGCTGCCCTCAGAGCTGATTTGGGAATTTACACAATTTCTGCTTTGTCTAAATTTAGAAAATATGGATATTATTGGCATAAAACTTAATCTATGGAAACTGACAGAGTCTGTAAATTGTGGCTGTTGGAAGAGACAAAACTTCAATTAAAGACCAAACTTGGATTATGTAACTGACAAATCTTATTAGGCTTTGAGGTCTGCCTGTTTCTTGTATAACTGGAGAAAGAAGTTAAAAAATTTCCTCCAGAAAGAATCTGGGATAGAGAAGCAAAAAAAGGTGCAGCTATCCTTGAAAATTATAATAGTTCCTTTATTGGAATAGAATATTCCAGTTGGCATTTGCACATGTTAATCTAATTGTGATGAATTGTAGGGGTGATACAGTAATATGATTTACATTTTTATTGTTTTTTAATTTGCTTATTATTTTCCATTATTATGATACAATCTTGCTAATAGTCTGTCTTTAATATTTTAGACACTATCTGATTAACAAACTATTCTAATACATTCAGGAGAACCAGGTTGGATTTATTAAAATCTAATATTTTGGACTTGATCTGACCCCAAATATAACACAGCATTCTTCATTGCTTTTTTAGATAAATATTGAAATTGTTTCAGAGGCTCTGAGTGATAAAAGGAAATTCCCCTTTTTCCACCGGATGAATCCCAAAGAAGTATTCCAGTACCCAGTAATTGTCTACCTGCTCCTCCATTTCAGATGGACCCTGATTGGCCTCTTTGCTTCAGACAGAGAAAATGGAGAGAATTTCATGAGGACTTTTCCTCCTATGCTTGTCAGGAATGGAATTTGTGTGGTTATATCACAACTGTTCTCAACACGTGGATATACAGCATCCCTCAGGGATTCCCTCTCTAAGTGGAGACAAGTCAACGTCTTTGTTCACTTCATGGAACTTGATTACATTTGGGAGAGAATTCTTCCTTTCCATTTAACATTTATGCGTCTGCCAGGACCCATTGAAGGGAAAGTCTGGATCCTCACAAATTTTGCAGGGTATAAAATAAACAAGCGTAGACTTCTCAAATACATCCATAGTATTTGGAACTTTGGTTATCAGGGAAAAGAAAGGCCAAGAGATTCTGCCTTTGAACCCCATTTCTTTGTGGAAACAAAGTTTCAAGATCCTTATTTTCTCTGTTCTCTTTCAAAGAACGTCTTTTCTGTCAAAGGCCGCAGAAGATGCACCCAGAAAGCCCCACTGGAGACCCAGGTGAAAAGGAACAGAGGAAGGATCCAAAATAACTATGACTATTACAGTTTCATGAAGGTGCTGGCCCAGGCCTTGAATGCCGTTTATTCCTCCAGATCGAGGAGGAGAAGGAAGGAGGGAGAAAAGACTTTGGGGTCTCCAAGGCTGCAGCCATGGCAGGTAAGGGCTCCCGATTGGAGAGCTGATTTGCTCTCAGTTGTTTTGCGCAGGGTTCTGCTGCTTGCTGCAAAGAGCAGCTGGAGCAGATTTTTTTCTCCTTGTGCTAATCAAGCTATGCTGAAAACGAAAATGAAAGTAAAGCAGGCTGTTTGCTGCAACTAGGCAAAATTACTCAGAGACAGATTTCTTTTTCTTCTTTTCCTCACTAAAAAAGGTAGGTGCGTCTTATAGGCTGGTGCGTCTTATATTCCGAAAAATACGGTAACTATGATTTTGAGATCATTTTCACAAACATACATATGAAGTTTGGTGTCCCTCATCTTTCTTCTAGTCCATCATTCTTGTTCTTATATGAGACTCTGTTGTTAGTGAAGTCCTAGTTGCTAAAACTTAGATATTTTTCTACTGCTTTTTACATATGCACCCTTCTGTGTGTGCTGATGATAAATATTGTTTCTGGAAACTTGATATTCCTCTCATTAAATTTTATTTTATTCAAAAAGGTAAAATACAAACTTCAAAAAATAAAACTATTACAAAGACAAAACAAAATTAGATGAAACATTTTTTTAAAAAAATGTGCATTAAAAACAGATAAAACCACATACGCATATATTGTTCCCCAGTTGAATATTGACAGATTTACATTTCTCCCCCTTGCAAAATACGCCCACAATTATAATCTTCTACCGATATATTTGCAACCACTTGACTTGTCATCTGTCTGCTGTATAAAAAAAATGTAGTTAACAGCAATTAAAAAAAAATTAAATTTCAAAATTTCAAAACTGTCTGTTATCTGCTATTATATTTAACTCTCAGACAATTTGCAGGGGCTTATTATGTACCACAGACCACCACAATCATTATCTCTGATCCATCCTGAATCTGTTCATGATTCAATATCTTTGTTTAATTCTTAATAATAATTCATTTCCTTAAAACTTTAATTAGGATCTTTCCCAGCAACTGCTTTTCATTCCCCAAAGTCACAGGACCTCCTGTAAATTGAAACACGATGACTCTTAAGATTTGTTTTCCAGTTAAATATGACAAGTCCATTCCCCAATCTCCCTCAATCTTCTTGAAAGAATCCATTTCTTCAGTCATCCGTTCTGTCCACTTTGAGTCTTCAGGGTCCATGGCCTCTCCAGCCATCTCCAAGCAGCCTGCCTTCAAACCAGATTCCTCCTTCAGGGATGCCAGCAGCAAATTCAGTTCCAGTCCATCCATCCAATCCATCCAATTCAACAATTGTTGCTTGCTTCTGATTATCGTCTTTAAGTTGATTTAAAACCATTGTTATTTTATCAAACTTTTAAAATGAAGTTTCAAATAAGGTTTTTAAGTAGAAAAACTTTATATTCTTTAAATTAAATCACATCAAATTAGCTTATTCTAGGATCTACATCTTAGATCAAATCTTGCATGAAGGGGATTCATCAACTTGACCGTATTAATGATAACCTAGAAAAATTGATGTCCAATAGCAAAAAGTTATCCCTAACCTTCAATCCCTGGCCCATGAATTAAAGTATATAAAGGTTCCCCCTATGCTCTTGTATGGAGCAGAAGTTTGGGATTTCTACTCAACCACAGTATAGAACAAACACAGTCCCAGCACCTGAGCTGTATTGTGGGGGTAGATCTAAGGACATCTGCTGCAGCAGTTAGAGCTAGATTGGGAATATATACAATTCATCGATTATCCACTATGAAAGCATTTAACCACTGGCACAAAGTCAATGAAATGGAGACTGATAGACTCCCCAAGTTATGCTTACTAGAGCAGATAAAATCACAATCACAAACCTCTTGGATCACTAAACTGATTAATTGTGGAAGTAGCTGTGGCCTTCTTGTCTCTTGCGTAACAGGAGAACAATTTTAAAAACAGCTGCCCAAAGAATTAAGGATATAGAAGCACAAAATGACATGGTTATTCTTAGTAAGGTGGGTAAGTTGAAATGGCTGAGCAAATACAAACCTACTTTTCAACTAGACAACTATTTAAAGTTACAACTGCCAAAAAAATCTTAGGGAGAGATTTACGTGAGGGAGATTCAAACAGCTGGACACAATGGTCAGATATGGGAGATGCCACTCTAGACCTTGTAATGGAGGTCTCTGCATTTGCAGAGTGGCAGAGGCAGAAGACCTGGCTCACATCCTGTTTGATTGCTGCCCGCAGAAGAGGGTGAGAGGCAGGTACCTTGGTCCGTATACCAAACAAAGGACCCATTGGGAATCCCATATCAAAACGACTCACCTTATCTGCAGCCAGAATTTGAAAACAACATTTAATGCAGCTCAGTACTTGAGCAAAATGGCTCAGTTGAGATCGGCATTTGTGGGACTGATTGGGGTAGGCTGAAGGGGTGATATTGAAATATAATTTTATCATATTTTATTTATCCATATATTATTGCATTCTATTCCAATCTCATTTTAAATTGTTTTTATCGGATGTTAGTAATAATTTGTGTTTGGAACTCTGCACTTTGATTTGGTCCATGGAATCAAATAACCAATCAAATAAACATAACTTTCAGGTGTCGTAGGAAAAATTTAAAAAGATTAAAAATATTTGAGTATCACTTTGAAGGCAGTTTTTATCCACTTAGTTATCATACCATCCGCCCCTCAGTTTTCTAATCACATCACACAATTGTTTATGAGTCCGTTACTGAAATCCAGAGTTCCCATAATCTATTTAGGAAGTGCAATGATGGGTGAGAATGACTTTTGGGATGAGGAGAAGAGAGGCTGCCTAGGGAAGGATCAGAGAAGAGGGGAGAATCCAGGGGTGAAATTCACTTACCTTCCCTACCGGTTCGCAAATGTGTGCGCACTACCACAGAGCCCTCATCAGAGCCTCCCCAGACTCCAGGACTGGCCCATGTCCCTCCCCAACCTCCTCACTGTCCGAATCTGCTGCCAGCTCCACTGGCCTCTGGTGGGCCACAACAGCTATACGGATTCTTCCTTCGGCTTCTGTCAATCCTGTCTCCAGGCGCAGAAGTGCATTTGAGACACAACGTGGCATCTGGAGAATTGATCTGGTGAATTTGGATTGAACTACTTCTAATGATGTAAAACATGAAGCTGACGGTCCGAGCAACGTCCCATAAAGGAGCTGTGCTAGCGACTTGGGCACAAAAAGCTGAAGAGCAGCAGGGACATAGTAGCCTCCCTTTGTGCGGAAACAATGAAGAATGGTGCTGGCTGATCTTTGGCCCAGGGCAGCTGCATCTCTCTTGAACCCTTGGCCTGAATGGCCACCCCCAGGGATTTGAAGGGGCTTTCCTGCTCTATTTTGTGGCCATTTAGATACCATGAATCAAGTTTTGGCCTTTTTGATCTTTGTTTTCTCATCATTGATGCCCAGTTGATTGTAATTGCAGTGCTGGAGAAGGGCTCACAAGGCTCTTTTCAGGCCTACTGGTGTCCTGGAGAGGATCACAGGGGCATCTGCATAGAGCAGGAGGGCGATGCTTCGGTCACCTATTTTTGGGGGGGGAGGGGTGATTTGGTTTGTTTAGCCATTTTACCATGCCAGTTATGTAAAAGTTGAAAAGCAGGGGAGCCAAAATGCCCCCGTTTAACCCCCTTTTGAGTTTTAACTGACTTCGAGAGGGACCCCTGCATATCACACCTCACCTTGAGGGATGTTTTAGTATGCAGGGCAGGTAATAGATGAAGAAGCCTGTGGTCAATTGAGGCAGCTTCCAGCTTCTGCCATAGCTTAGTCCTGGGAACCGTATCAAAGGCTGCCTTGAGATCTATGAAGCAGGCGTAGAATGATGCAGGTCTATTTGATGTGTATTTTTCCATCAGTTGAAGAACTAAGCACTGATCGGTAGTGCCTCTCCCCTCTCTAAACCCGGCTGGCTCTTCAGCGATCAAATTCTCCAGAGCCAGCCACTCTCCATCTGGAGGTGTTTTCCATCAGGATGACCAGGGAGAAGATTAGCCTGACAACTTTCTTCTTGATCAACCCATGCTTTCTGGGAATCAACCTCTTGTTTTCAAATAGTTTATGAATCATCTTTTTTTCCCTCTCTTCATTTTATTTGTCATCTGCTCTAGAATGTTCCCTATAATTGATCAATTGTGTCAATTATATTTTCTCTATGCTTTGTCAGTATATGATTGACAAATCTTTCTCAAACCTTTTCATTCACTTATGAAGATAATGGCAGTATTTGTATCCTATTTAACCATATTTGGAGATTAGACAATTGCGGAAGAAAGATTCAATGTGAGATAAGAAACAAAGTTTTCTGTTTTTCAAATTCCTGGATGTTCCCATTCTAGTTTCATCCCTTTCTGGAGAAGAATGAATTTTGGAATATTTCTGAGAGAAAACTGTACTTGGACCAAAATGGAGAGATGAAAGCAGATCTGGTCATCAGAATGTTCTTGGTTCTCCCCAAAGAGGATGTCATGGAAGAGATGCTGGCGTATTCTCTAAGACAGAACGTTTTTATCAACCCAGATGCTTTTTCACAGCAAAAGTTGCTCAATAGGGTGGGAGAAATGTTGGTGTCTTTTCTCTGTTTTTCAAAGCCTGAGGTCCCATTTCAAGTGGGGAAAGCCTGGAGTCTCCAGGGTGGTTGGCCTCCCATGCCAGGTGGTGTCATCTCATGGAAGCTCTTCAAGAGACGGGACCTAAGTGGAGTGGCTTTGCCATGTTTTATGGAAACCTTTCAAGATCTTACTGGTCAGAGGTTTCTTTCTTCATCACAGTTTAATTTCGTATTAAAAAACCTAATAGAATAAAATTTCCTAAATCTTTTACTGTAAACTTTCTTATCAGTTTTAATAAGAATATATTATCATATTTAAATCTTTTTTCAATTCCATCCCTCTAGACTTTATTAAATGGAAAAGTACTTTATTGTAATGTTAAATTTGGAAAGCAAAAGGGAGGAACTAAAGGAAAAATCTGCCAATTATTATACCTCCAGCATCTCTTTAGAAGTAGTCAGAGGTTTCATTTTCCATGGACGGAGAGTCCTAACATATTTTCTTTGGCATTCCTTTTCTTCTGCTCAGTCTCTGCCTCAGTCCAAATGTGTGGAAAGTTGCCATCCTGGATTTGTCAAGAGGGCTCGAGAAGGAGAGCCAGTTTGCTGCTACGACTGCATTCCTTGTCCGGAGGGGACCTTCTCCACTCAGGAAGGTGGGTCACACTGAGGAAAATGGGAGGCTTTGTGGAACTGGATCCATCCAGAACATTTTCATGAAAGTGGAAGTTAAAAGACACATTCAAGCTCAGCTGTATTTTTTAATTTTTAACCTGCACAATTTCTTAGCTAAAAGGAAGTCAATCAAGAAGACTTGGAAGGAGGGGCTGGGAAGAGATGGGAGGAGGGGGAGGCAGACTGGGCAAGCTTTACTAACAGCAGAGGAAATATCTCTTCTGCTTTTTAGTTTGGATATGTGCTGCTAAGTTCACCTTTCTAGGAACATATGAGTCAGGGGTGAAATGCAAAATTTTTCCCTACCAGTTCTGTGAATGTGGCAGGGAAGGATATTGCAAAATTTCCATTCCCAACCCACTCTGGGACCAGCCAAAGGTGGTATTTGCCAGTCCTTTGAACTACTCAAAAACTTCCGCTACCGGTTCTCCAGAACCTGCTAGATTTCACCACTGATCTTAGTTCTTTGAAACTTGATGAATTGTTTTAGTCCACCTTCTGAAAGACCTTGCAATCCACTGTATATTGGATCCTCCCCTTGAGGATCACTGGGCCATAATGTGGTGCTGTGGATAGTTATAGGGGGAACTCATTACACAATTATTCTGCCAGTCATGTAGATCAATCAATCAATCAATCAATCGGAATGGAACAGAGCTGGAAGGGACCTTGGCGGTCTTCTAGTCCTACCCCCTGTTCAAGCAGGAGAACCTATACCATTTAAGACAAGTGACTGTCCAGTCTCTTCTTTAAAACCTTCAGTGTTGAAGAACCCAAAACTCTGGAGGCCAGTTCTTTCCACTAGTTAATTGTTCTCACTGTTAGGAAGTTTCTCCTTAATTCCAGGTTGCTTCCAGATGTTACAGGATATTGTAGGTATCCTCCAAGTCCAGGATATTAAGTGCCATGTGGCAGGACTCAGGATGTTTGCCTAAAACGATTATATGATTCATTATTAACCTCAAATAATGTAGGTTCCTATGAAGATTCTACACATTACACTGGAAATAATTTACACCCTAGAATTTTGCTCAATTTAATATATCTGGCTACATTTTTTTAAAAAAAATCCTTCTTATACTCTTTTTAATGAAATCTTTAAAAAATACTTCTTGGAAAATGCCCCTGGTATCAACTGTTATCCAAAGAAGGTTTTTCTTTTAAGATAAAAGGACAGAATATTAAGGAAAGTTGCTTTTTTGTTTTCTCAGATACAGAAAAATGCACCAAGTGCCCAGATGATAAATACCCAAATGAGGCCAGAGTCCAATGTATCCCCAAAGTTGTAACCTTCCTGTCTTATGAAGAACTTCTGGGCATCATCCTCGTCTCTTTTGCCCTACTCTTCTTCCTAACCACAGGCCTTGTTTTGATCCTCTTCATTAAATACAGAGAAACTCCCCTTGTCAAAGCCAACAACAGGGACCTCTCCTACATCCTCCTGGTCTCCCTCCTGCTTTGCTTCTTGTCTCCTTCTCTCTTCATTGGTCAACCAAGGAAAGCCACCTGCCTTCTCCGACAAACGGTTTTCAGCATCATCTTCTCAGTTGCTGTTTCTTCTCTCTTGGCCAAAACCATCACGGTGGTGCTGGCTTTCCTGGCCACAAAACCAGGAAACCGAGTGAAGAGATGGTTGGGGAAGAGCTTGGCCAACTCCATCATCCTTTCTTCTTCTGCTGTCCAAATTATCATCTGCTCCATCTGGCTGGGAGTTTCTGCCCCCTTCCCTGACTCTGACCTCCACTCCCAGCCTGGAGAGATCATCCTGCAATGCAACGAAGGGGCCGTTGTCATGTTCTACGTCACCCTCAGCTACATGGGCTTCCTGGCTGCCATCTGCTTCACGGTGGCTTTCCTGGCCAGGAACCTGCCTGGGGCCTTCAATGAAGCCAAGCTGATCACCTTCAGCATGCTGGTCTTCTGCAGTGTCTGGGTGACTTTTGTGCCCACCTACCTGAGCACCAAAGGGAAATCCATGGTGGCTGTGCAGGTCTTCTCCATCCTGGCCTCCAGTGCTGGTCTGCTGGGCTGCATCTTCATCCCCAAGTGCTACATCATCCTTCTGAGGCCAGAGCTGAACACAAAGGAGCATCTTACAGCCAGAATCAATGTGAAAACATGAGATGTAATCTATTAGAATATTTAAAGAATGGTAAAATGTCCTTTTATTTGAAAGAAGGCAGTAATTATTCAAATTTAAATAGTATGTTTTGAAATGGGAAATGGTTGAATGACTGGAATTATTGCATTATTCATCCCAATAAATCTAGCTAAAGAGAAATCGGTGAAAGTCATTCAGAGGAATTTAATATTTTGCAGCTCCCAAGAACCAGACAGATTATAATTTGAGCAAATATTCCTACTGTCAGTTGCTGAAAATGTAGATGTGTATCGTGAGAAAGTAGGAAAAGAGGTAAGATGGAAGCTGTAGGACCCTTCCTCCAAGATTTATATGATCATCTTCATGAGAACAGACCATGTGGGATAGGAAACAAACTTTTCTGCTTTTAAAATTCCTGGATGTTCCCACTCTAGTTCCATCCTTTCCTGGAGAAGAATGAGTTTCACAATATTACTGCCACAAAACTCTTCGTGGAACAAAATGGAGAAATAACAGCGGATCTGGTCTTTTGGGGCTTAATCTTTCTCCCCAAGGAGGATCCCAGGGAAGAGGTTCTGGGTTTTTTTTTGAAAGGCGGAGATTTTATGTCAGAGAAGATGTCCTTTCACGGCTAAAGTTGCTCAACAAGGTGGGGGAAAGCGGTGGGTTGTTTTTTTTTTAAATCAATTTTTTATTTTAAAATAAAAATAAAACATAAAAACATCATCATTCCAAACAATCACAGACAGTGTATCGATCGGTTAACATCCTTTTGTGCTCAGTCCAGGGGTGAAATCTAATTTTTTTTGCTACCGGTTCTGTGGGCGTGGCTTAATTAGTGGGCGTGGCTTGGTGGTAAGGTGACTGGGTGGGCGTGGCCAAGTCAATGTCACTTCTTTGCCCTTTTTTAACCTACAAAACCCAACACAACACAACAGGCTCACCCACAATGTAAAAGTAGCTGTGCTAGATTCAAAATGGCCCCTGCAACAAGCAGGAACCTCACACAGCCACAAAAAGCCCAAAAAAACAACTTTCACACTTTACACACACACAACACAACTGGCTCACCCACAATGTAAAAGCAGCTGTGCTAGACCCAAAATGGCCCCTGCAACAAGCAGGAACCTCACACAGCCACAAAAAGCCCAAAAAACCAACTTTCACACTTTACACACACAAAATTCCACATACAGCTTTGTGAGATTTTGTGTGTTTGTGTAGTTAGAGTGAAACACTACAGAAACACAGTAAATCTCAGAAAACTGCACAAATATTATTTTATTTTAATTTATTTTTATTTTTATATAAAAGCAGCTAAATTTAAAACTTCCTAAACTTTAAATGGCTAGGTCTAAAAAAAAGAAGAACTAAAAAAAACCCCAATTAACTATTTTTTTTAAGCTCCAAAAAGGGGAAAAAAACTTACCCAATAGAACAGGGGTCTCCAACCTTGGCAACTTTAAGACTTGTGGACTTCAACTCCCAGAATTCCTCAGCCAGCTTTGCTGGGAGTTGAAGTCCACAAGTCTAGGCAGGAAGGCAGGCAGGCAGAAAGAGCTGCTCACCGATGAGCTTGATTGCAGGCAGGGAGATTCAGTTGCTTGCTGATGCAATGGATTGCGATCGTCATGCGATCAACAGCTAAGGTAAGCAAGCTGGAGGCTGGGGGTGGGGAGAAAAAAAGAAACTTTTTTTCTTTTACATGGCTCTGGAGATCCAAGCTGAGTTGCCTGATTAGCAGGCAACTCAGCTGGGATGTCAGAGCTTGGGTGGTCAAAGCCATTTAAAAGGAAAAAAAAGGCTCTGATGATCACGGGGCTCAGCTGGGCATGTGGGGCAGGGATTTTTGCTACCGGTTCTCCGAACTGTCCGCCGCCATCGCTACCTACTTGCCCTAGCCGGTCCGAACCGGGAGCATTTCACCCCTGGTTCAGTCCCATCTTCAAAATATCAATATATGACCAAAGCTTATTTTCATAAAGAAATATTTCACTTATTTTATCTCAACTTCCACTTCATATTTCATATTTATCTCCATATTTTATTATCTATCCATTGGTAAAATAAATCCCACATCAATTCCCATTGATGTGGGAAAGTGGTGGGTTTTGTATCAAGGATAGTTGGTGTCTTCTAATTGTAATTCCTCAACAGAAAGGACCTTTTCTGGGATACTAATCTGGGCCTTAGAAATATCCCTTTGGGACACAGGCTTCCTTCTCATGTCCCATGGGCTCTACTGACCTACCCAGTTTGAGGGACACATTCTCCAGTCCTCCCCTCCACCTCACCTCACTCCAGTCCTAGAAACTAGGCAGTCGGTTTCAGTCTCAGTTCACTATCTTATCCGTCAAATCAGTTGAAGAAATGAATACACAAATCAAGAAAAACATCTCTTTTCAAGTTGATAGCCCTAATTTGTACATATTTTTTTTCTTTGAACCTCAATGGAGAGATGGCTTTGGGCTCCTTTCAAAGGGGAGCAGCTATGTAATGTTTTATGTAGTCCAGAAGAAAACCTTCCACATCCTACCGGTTTGAGGTTCTTCACACTTTTATTCTGTTTTAGGGAGCGTGGCGGCCTATGGTTAAGATGCTGGGCTTGTCAATCAGAAGGTCAGCAGTTTGAGACCCAGGCACCACATGACGGGGTGAGATCCCGTTGCTTGCCCCAGCTCCTGCCAACCTAGCAGCTTGAAAGCATGAAAATGCCAGTAGAGAAATAGGTACCACTTTGGTGGGAAAGTAACATTGTGGCCTATAGCCCTGCTGGCCACATGATCACAGAAGCCTTGTCTTGGACAATGCTGGCTCCCTTGGCTAAGAAACAGAGATAATGAACACCCCCTCCCCCGCCCAGAGTTGGACATGACTGGA